TTAGGAAGCACACTGCTTATTTTGTGGTTTAAATGGTAGAATGGCTGAATGTGGTAAGATTAATTTGAAGTTTCTGTAAGATTTGGAACGAAAGGGAAAAATTGCATTAATTGACTGGTGTGTAAACGAAAGTTTACTTAGTAGCCATTATAAGCATCTTGTTTTTAGAAAGGAAATGTGTATGGTTGAACGTCAGAGGATATTTTTGACTCTTATTTTTGTGAATTTATGTGGCGACACCAACATACGGATTCTAGTTCACATAATTTTAGGAAGTTTTTGGATGCTGTTGAGGAATTTTGTGTGCCATAGACTGAAGGACTCAGAAATTTCTAAACAAGGTAAGTGGATATTTGCTTTGTGAAGTGTTTAGATGCATAAGATGAATTCCCTTTTTTATGTTATTTTATTGTTTGATTTAAAATGTAGTTTATTGAGATTATGTATTTTTTGTTTGGCTCTACTGTAGAACTGGGTGCTCCTTTGCTTTTTAAGTGAAACTAGATCGATATGTACATGGACAAAGGGAGTGCGCAATGCCAAGTTTGTGCAATTCTTTGACTTGTTATTTTGTCTTTGTGTAGGCTAAAAATCACCGATACACAAAGCCAAAATAACAATTCAAAGAACTGCACAAACTCGATATCCATGTACCACCAAAAATTGCCAATTTTTACCAAGGGTCACCCGTAAATATATTTTTACTTAACATGCCAAGTTCTTTCTGAAAACCCTCTACTCAAAAATGACATAATTTTTATTGCTTGATTTTTCAATAAATAATATTAGTAAAAAGAAAAGGGGAAACAGATATGTAAATACTGTATTTACAAAAAAAATGATGTGATGATATCAGTTTCAACAACTACATCAGACATACTTTTTATGGTGTTTGCTCTACTTCTTACAACATCCAGACAAGTACCCAAGTCATCTACAGACGATTTGGTGCCTGCACGTCACACCTGCACAGTATGGATTTCGAAGTGGGGACCATGTAGTATCAGTGGCCCCTTGATTGCTCCGAGTTGAATAGGCCTCATCGCCAGAGTAGTCTGACCCATTCAGGATAGATGTACACTCTGGCTAAAATAGACCACCGACACGCAAGGCACAAACATATACATATATGTATATAATATAGTTAAGGTATATAATATAGTTAAGAAGTACATTTTTCATGAAATTTAATTTAGTCAGTGTTGTATGAAATAGTTCCAATGTTTCTGTCCTGAGTCTTATATCTATGCCAAACCAAGATAGCTTTTTTACCTAATTTACATTCCTAGCTTTCTCTTCCAAATTTTTTTTACCTTTATCTTGAGATTTTTTTTATTCCACTTGCTCTGAGAAAACAGGTATCCCTCCTTATTTCAGACAGTAATGTTAAGTTTCCTTTCAAGAATGTTCATTAACTAATCCCAATGCTATTTGTAAAAACCTAAAACATTCGTACATGTCTGAGTAATATCAAACTAGAAACTTTAAAATATGATTTGAGAAGAACACCGGCTCTATAATGTCAAAATAATTCTCTACACAATTTGGACTATTTGTTACTAGGATTTGATGACATTTAATAACTTAGTAAAATCCTAGGAGAACCGACACCCTTAGTGACAAACTGGAAAAGTGCAGAATCACCCACTGCATCGTTTCTCAAAATCGCCAATTTTAAAATAATAAGTAAAAAAATTGCACAAACTCGGTATCCATGTATACATCAACCTATTTTTACTTAAAAAAAAAAACATCCTGGAATTGCACAAACTTGGCATTGCACACTCTCTTGACTTTGTCCATTTACACATCGATACACGCCATATAAGTGGGCGCGCCAAGGGTGTAGGCTCTGCTAGGATCCAACCAATAACTTGACAAAATATAATAAACATAGATAACTACTGGAGTTATAGACTATACGGATTTCAAATAACTTTTTGCATTCAGGAAACATTACAAAAAAGTTATGAAAAATAATGGCATAAGGAGTTATATTAAGTGCATAAAATTTTCATAAACAGATACCCAACACAGAATACTATCAATGAAGCAGCTACACATAATAATAAACTAAAATTTCAAAAGCTAGAAATTTTCGTACAGTGAAATGTCAATAAACAGATCTTCCATACCTGATTTAAATGCTTGTTATTCCTTAAATATATAGCTTAATATCTTGAATATCTGTACAAATCATAATAAGGTACTATAAAATACAATTTTCTTAAAGGGGTTCATCAAGATAAACTAAAAAAAATTTCAGTTAGGCTGAAGTCAGTAACCAGATTCAACAAATGCAAAATACAGTTAAAATCTGAATATTTAAAATATAGCTACAATAAAAATAAAAATAAAATAATAATAATAAAAGAAAGCACTAAAAAAGAATTCTTCGACTATATTAAAAAAGGGTTATTACTTACTAATACAGAAATCTATGGCAAAAAAGTACATGAGCTAACAGAAAAGTGCCCGAAATTATTCCTTGTCTCATGGATTAAAATGATTAATTTCTCATAACATGAATCATGTACTGTTACTTTCATATTTTAAAGGAGTTATGGGATGACAAAGTTCTTTTATTTTCACTAGCGTCAGGTGGTTCACAGTGCCTTAACGAATGCATTCTTTTGGCTGTCTGTTAACTCTGAACTTCCTTTTTAGAGTGTAATAACTGATTTAGTAATATAAGGATCCATTTTCCTCTTAATAAACGCTATATTTTAATTCACTGTGCCCAGTTTTATGTTTTATCAAGATTATTTAGATAAATAATGCATAATTGGCACAAATAATTTTATTTAATTTGTTAAAAATGAAAATATTAAACTCATATTTTCATTGTTAACAAATGAACAATTTGTTAACAATGAAAATATGAGTTTTTGAAAAAAAAATTGCATCTTAAAACATATAAGTCAAAGAATAATGGTTAAAAAAATTAAAAGATTCCATTTAACGAGTTTTATACATGATTTCATGCAGTACCATCCCTATAACAACATTCCTGTGCATTCCTTTTAAAAGAGGTCCTTAAAAGCTTTCATCTACAGATATTTATATTATTTTGTATGCTTTAACCCATTAACCACCTAAACTACAAGGAATGTTTCTTTTCTCATGAAAATAACAACAAATATTAAATTAAGCATTTATAACATAAATTTACATTGAAAATTAAAAAAAAATGATCTTACCTGTGGGAAATGCAAGTGTTGCGTTTACGCAACGTCAGCAGAATAAGACTACGGATGTTTAGTGAGTAGGATTGTACTTATGTGATGTTTCTTTTGAGTGGAGCGCAGGATTACTTTTTAGCTGTATAACATTTTATAAATCTACAAATCACTTCACTTGTAATTAATTTAATATTAAAATATACATTGTATTTCTTTTACAAATACAGATTATTTCAATTGAAAAATTCAAGCATGAAAAGCTTGATTACAATCATGATGTAAAGCTACATTACATACTTTGCATCTATAAACAGTCTGGCTATGGTACTCTTTACAACAAAGTCTTTTGTTATCAACGGACTTTACGATAAAATGTCTCCATCTCCATGCAATGGTTTTTGAATGCTGAATTTACTAGGTCTTCCTGTTGCTGATCTATTTCTGGCTGATTTGGCACTCTCAATAGGAGTTTGCGAAAGGAATAATACATTCTCGCGTCTGAAATCTAAGAGACTATATTTCCAGTAGTAAAAAGTGGTGACATTTAGTAAGTTTAGATATGGTCTCACTTCATATAATTTATCAGTATCGTTAATTTGACTATTGCCAAATGCAAATTTTTGCTTCATGTTCCTCTACTGCAAACGTGATATCGATTCTTGTACAACAGGAACAGAAATGTCCTAATCAAAAGACCAATACATTTTTTCTTGAGGTAAAGAAGGATATCCTGTAAGCAATAATATTCCAATAAATCTTCTCATATAGGCTTCAGATGCAATAAATTCTGGGCATTTTTTTTTTTTCGCTGAGCATATATATTTGTCTGTTCAACGAGAAGATAATAAATGTCTAAACCAAAACGAAAATCTGTGCACTAGTTTTACCTTGTATTTTGTCTTTTATAATTTCTCTTCTATCTCTTTCTTCATGTTCTTGCCATTCCTTTCTTCTTCATCACTAGATTCTGCAATTTCTGGGGGAACAACAACAATATCAGTTTCATTCTGGTCATTATTAACATTATCATCATCTGTTTCTTCATCAAAAAATCTTTGAAGGGCTTCTTCTAATGTAAGATACCTCGTTCTAGGTATTTTTAAACAACCAAAACATGAACCAGAACATCGAAAGGAATGAGTGAAAAAGGAGATTGACTACCCGTTCTTGCTGACGTTGCGTCAGCGCAACACCTGTTTTCCCTTCCTTCCCAACACAAATATAAACATCTGACTGATGTAATGTTCTGATAAATGGTGACCTTGACAAAAAATAGATCACTCATAAAGATGGCGAGATTCTTTCGTTGAATATTTTCAGCAAAAATACCCGGTCAAAAATTTGCTTAAAGTATGAGATTAATTATTATAAACAAAATGATTGTTGAAGGCAAATATTTTTTTACAGAAATAATCTTCATGATATTCCCTACACAAAATCATCTGCAGGTATAAAATATCTTAGGTAGTTATATTTATATATGCATTTATTTTGATCGTTGCGTCAACGCAACACCAGCGGCTAATGGGTTAAGTCAGTCTAAATCTTATGCAATTATTAAATTCTTAATTGTGCTAGCATAAAAAAAAAAAAAAAAAAAAAAAAAATTTACAAGCAAACAGATAACAAACAAATATTTGCAGATATGTCTTTGTTACTTTAACTATTCCAAAGAACAAATTTATTCTTTCTGTGCAACCAGAAAACTCAATGTACTGTTCTGATCAAAACTGTGTAACTTAGCACATAATATATGCATATATACTAATTAAACAAACAAATAAATAAAAAAATAAAATTAATTTATGGAACATTTACCAGCATATAAAAGTTTTAATTTCAGCTCTTCTACCAATTTTACATCTCTCTTAACTTGCTCAATTACAGGATCAATCAAAATGGCACTGCGACATTTAGAATCCGCAAGTAAATAAGTATAGGTGCAACTAGAAGAATCAAATAGCTGAAAAATAAAGGGCAAATATATTATATAAGAACAAAAAGAAATAACTTCAAATTACAAATTAGTAAAGTAAAAGCCCAACTATCCAGTATTCATGTAACTGAAAACCTCAAGTAACTGGAAAATTTTAGAATTTTATATTTTTTTTAAACATCCTTTTGAAAAAAAGCAATGGGAAACTTGTACAAACATTCTATACAAGACTCTCAAAACCACTGATAATTTCTAAAATGTGAAAGCCCTCTTTCAAAAGACATTTTTATTTGTCTCCCCCTTCTGCACCACTGTATCCATGCTATTGTTCTAAGAATCATCCTTGAGATAGGATACACCTCATAGAAAGAAAAGTGGGCAGTGATTATAAAAGAATTTCTAATAAAAATTCTTATCACTAGTTCTTTGTTGTCACTATGGCACGAAAGCATACCAGAGATTCCAAACTTCACAACAGGTGTTTAGTTTGTTGATCACAACTCTTGCAAGTATGTTTAATGAAGGCAGTTACTAGAGTAACAGGGCTTCTCAGTTCTATCAATGAATTTAGAGCAAAAGTATAATGATTATTTAATTTTTGTAATAAATGAATTTAGGGCAAAAGTATAACGATTATTTAATTTTTGTACTTAACACGCTTTCCCGTTAACGGCAAACAAAAACTGTTGCTAAAGTTTCATTTACTAGCAATAATGTATAAGCTTAAAATGTACAATTTTAATAACTGGTTCTTAGTTTCCTGTAAACTAGATAATTCTTGATAAGCCACTTTTGTTTTTGTAAAAAAAGATATAAGTTGACTGCTAGCTGTCTGTTTTCCCTTGCAATTTGGAAAACATGGTTCAAATTTTGGAAATCTCATCTATGCAGCAACATACGGTATTTTAAAAATTACGAGATTCTGGCATTAAGAAAAATGTATCTTTTTGGCTACAACATATGATTTTATTTGAAAATGAATAAGCAATGGCAATGCAATGTGAAAAATTAGATACAATTTAAGTTTCCTATACACTATATCCATATCTTGAATCTTACGACTCTAATTAAATAAACAATCTTTTCTCTTTAAGCTTTCACTGAAATGATCAATGCAAATCTGGTGGCATTTCCACTAACTTTCATCATCGACAGCATTTTATAATCAGATAAAATGTTTTAATTTCATACATCAAAGGAAACAAAATATGTTTGACTTCATGCATAAAACACAATCTTTATTCAAAATCTTGCATAATTTTAAATGTAAACTTTTGATATTCAAGCTGATAACAAAGATGACTGATTTTATAATTCTAAAGCAAACATTTCTTTTTCCATTCACAAGGATTTTCTAAAATAAATTGACAATTTCTACATGGAACTTCTGACAACTTTTCACATAGAAATTTTCCCAGCACAGCTAAGTTATTGTCTTTAATAAATATTTTCAGTTCACACTTGAAGATGACAGTTAACGGACATCCTCTACCTTACTTCTGAATGATTAAGCTACCTGTAATATTATGATAAGGGCAAGTTTGATAGCATAAATTATTTTAATCTTGGATTAAAAATTGGTGCACTAAAATTTTTCAAAGTGATTCTGGATGATTACATTTCTAAAAAATTTGCTGTTACCTCTTTCATCAAAACTTGCTGATTACTCACACACCAACAAATGAACTGCAAAAAGAGTACTGATGAGGTAACACACCGCAATGCCAAAAAGTACTCATGTGGAAACCCAGGTATGCATGCAGCATCCCCCTAGATTTCTTTCAACTTTAGACATTATTGCCACTGTAACTGCTGTTTATGATCCCCTTTTATGGGAATTTCAGGTTTACAGCACAGCAGGGAACCATATACTGCAGTTTTCATCATTTTTAGCAAAGTACCTCACTTAAAGAATGATGTGCTTATATTTTCCTTCTCCTCGCTTTAAGACTTTCATTGTAAAGTTATACCTAATTGCAAGTTTGCGCAGTGTTTGATTTTTTTAGCTGAAATATACCACTGTGTGCATGAACAGAAAACAAAGCAAGAAACTGAAAAGTGTGCACGTCTTTTAGAGAAAAATGGAATGTTAAAAAAAAAAAAAAAGGCAGGGTTGGATGAATCATTGAAATAGATGTAATGATACTTAAACCAATGTTTCTCTCCAAAACTGCTAACAAATTCACAACTACTTACAAAACTAGCAATAAATATCTTTCAAGTGAGAGTGTACTAATCAGAAAGTACCCATTGATTTTGGATATATTCTGGCAGTTGGAATCAGTCAAGATGATTTAAAGAAAATTTCAAATTATCATTTTAATTTATATTATTAATTACAATTAATTAATTTCATGTGTAATCAAATCTGTTGGAGAATAAAAAGGCACATATATAGCAATGTTTTAACACATTCTTAAGCAGTTAATACGTAAACCAGAACTATTTTATTTTGTATTAAAGCTTTAATATATACGTAGTATATAAGCTTTAATATATATGTAGCTTTAATATATATGTGTATATATATGTAGTCGTTTACTGTAATATATATGTAGATACAACGTTAGATTTATACACAAGGGAAGTTATAACTACAGGATTTGTTTTTCAAAATTTTAATGCCTTTCTAGAAGTTAATGAATATTTTATCATGAAATCAAATAACTTTTAAATACCAACTGCTGTTTTAGTATGTTTCAAAACAACAAAAACACTTAACAATGCAATCGAAATTTATAATCGGTTATTACGATCAACAACATTTATGACTGATAAAATAATTTATTTTACAAATTACAAACATTGCCTTGTCAATAGCTTAATCCAAAATTTTAAAACTGAAAGCTATATATTTTCAATTTTAGAACTTAACAATATCTAATTAATAATTTAAAAAAGATTGGGTTAATCAATTAAGGCAAATCAACTCGGGTGGTATCTGCGTATGGGAAGCGATGCCTTCATAGAGGACTTTTTAAAGGTAAACTGGCTTGTACCTATGTTACACATGTAAAAAAATCATGAAAATTCCTATACATCTGACCCATACACTGGAATTTGACAATGGGTCTAGTATAAGGTGACCAGATTTTTAACATTGGTAAAGCGGGACACGATTGACCAGAAGGGGGGTGGTTCTTGATTAAAAATTTGGTCTACATGGAGCAACTAAAATTTTCATAGAACACAAAAATAGTATTGCAATATATTTTTTTAAAAATTTCAACATAAATACACTTTACAAATATTATACATTAAAACAATTATGTATGGTATTATTTTATTCTTTGATATATTTCTTATTTGAGTGAATTTTTTTTTTTTTTTTTTTTCTTTTAGTAGATTGCTGTCGTTGCTTAAAAGGTCATGAAGCTTTTCACGAGAATTTGTTGAATTATATTTCACATATAAAATGGCTTTTAAAGTGTCAACACTTAATTGTGATTTTTCTGATGCCATACTTTACTTTACCGTAGAAAAAAACACGTTCAGTCACAGCATTAGTTCCTAGTAAGGACAGAGCGTACTCCACAGTTTTTAGTGCATTATTGTAGGAAACATGGTTTGTTTCAAAATGATAAAATATTTCTAACCATTTGTAACTCTAGTGTGATTTTTGCTGATGCCCAAGTTTTAACATTTTCCTTATCAATATATTTTTTAATAATGGTACCTCAATAAAAAGATCATTTTGGGAAATATAGCTATATGGGAAATATGATTGAATGATTTTTGCACATCATTCCAATTAAGTTCTTGTTTTAATGTAACCCAATGAAAATAAATATTTAAGTGTCATTGTAATATAACCATCCACTCTTCTAAATAATCTATACAGTTACTAGAGAACTTTTTATGTGATTCATGATATCTACACAATTTATTGCCCTTGTTCTTCTATCTGGTTTATACTATTACGGAAAGTTAAACGGAAGAAAGTTATTTTCGAATTGCTCTTGACACTGAAATTTTAAATTATTAACTTATTTTATTATTTATTATTTTAAATTATTAACCAACTACTTCGATTACCGAAACTTTGTCACCTGCAATAAGTTTTATAGCATTTTGAAAAAAAAAGCTACTTGATAGTGCACAAACTCTAGCCAAATTTTTGAAGATTCCTTTTCAACAAGCAGTGTATATATAGCCATAAGAATATATTTTGTCGTGCTTCCAAAAATCGGGACTTCTTTAAAATGTCACGGGACAAACTGTTAAAAATCGGGACATCTGGTCACCTTAGTCTAGTATCAAAGGCTGCTCACCTGATGATTCAAAATATTTCAATACAATTATCAAATAAATCATACATAATTTATTTAATATAGGACTGCTTAAATATGAAATTACTGTAGTAATTAATTTAAAGAGATGTATGAGTTCTATATTAGTATCTTCATATCAGAAACACTTTAAAAGAAAAATAACTAGTATATTATAACAGAATAAATTTTCAAGCCATTTGCGCAGATGGTTCTTTGTAAATCATATATCTCAAAATACAGAAATTCAAAAAATAAATTTCAAACTTATCAAATCATTTACACAATGTTGTACTGGTAGCATATACATTTTTCAATGAAAATTTATTTAATAAATTCTTGTTCTTTGTATGTTCTGCTAAAATAATTTAAAAAAATAGTTAAATTTCAGGAAATCAGATACTTTATACATCAAACAAACAAGGGGAGGAGGGGAGGAGAAAGAATGAACTGAAGAAGAAATCAAGGCGTTTGGGTTAAAATTCAGATGTAAAAAATAGTTACTTGAATTTCTGTATTTTTAATTCTCAGATTAGAAATAAGTAACTACGCATAACAGTTCGTGAAGATTAAGCCATAAATAAAAACCAGTAACACAGAAAAACAAAAAAAAATTTGATAAGAATTGCCTAATCACCTGCCGGAATAGGATGCCCATCATCCTCTTCATGCTCCGTTTTCAAGCTAAAAATTTAATTCTTAAAAGACAGGAGTATTCTACATAATCTCAAAGAACGACTCCGAAACAGAGACACGACATCAGTACCTGAGTAACATCTACTATAACGTCTACCGTTTAAAACAGATAACACAGATCTATTTTATTCTCGAGTGTCAAGATGTTGAAACACCTTTACGGAGTAAAAGATTTCATCAATTAAACGAAACTATCTCAATGTTCTTGAAATCGGGACAGACGAAATTTCAGCTGGGTAGAAAAATTTGATTGGTTAATAATGTACGTCACATATGACATCAAAAGAGGCGTGTTTGGCCATTTCCCAAAGAGCATTCTTGCGGATCACTTTGAGAAGCAATTCTTCCCTAATAGCACACATTGTACTCAAGAATTTTGGACTGAGGTCAGCTCCTATGTTAATGATTGACTATTTTACCTCCTACGCAAAATCATCTCAAACTTACTTCGCCCCGGGAAATTTTGGACATACCAAGAAACTTAGAAACAGGAAATCGCCTTGATTTGAAAACATCATTAGCGTCGCGTTAAAGTGGCTTCCTTTAAGATTCATTACAAGATACAAGGGTATTTTAAATGCCTGCCTCTTTAACCAAACTCTTCCCAAACTTTGAAAAAATGCTAAGATGATTGTTATAACGAAGCCGGGTAAAGACAGGGCTAAAGAAAGAGAAGGGCTGGGTCATCCCTTTGAGAAGAACGATGCCGACACGAACCCCTCTTGGGGAGGATACCGGATGTTATGTGACGTCACTGGGTTCGTCCCGTCGTCGACTGACCAGAGCATCAATGCGAAAGATTGAATCTTTAGTTCTTGGATTCTCTTTCTTTAGCCCTGTTAGTTTCAGAGAAAAAGTTTTTTTTTTTTTTTTTTTTTTTTTTACTTGAAAGTTATAACTGATGATACTTTTAAAGGGATTTTGTATTTCGAAAGTTCTTGTAATGAGAAATCATTGAAAAAATGTATCGTGTGCCGTTGCTACCTGTAGCAATACATATCATAATACGAAAGAAACTAGCGTGGTATTTCATAGATTTCTGTACAAAAATATTCAGTTAACGAAAGAATGGTTGCATAGATGATGAAGAGCGGATATTGTGCTCGAATATGCAGTAATCACTTCACTGAATCTGATTATGAGGATGATATGAAAAATAGGTTCCTAGGATTACCAACAAAAAAGGTACTGAAATCAACTGCTATTCCATCTGATTGTATTCCTGACTTGGTTATTTATCAGAATACACCAAGACAGCGAAGGCAACAAAAAAGAAAAAATTTACAAAGTGCATTTGAAAGAAGTCCTAAAAAGGCATGTCTGGAATTGCAAAACGATAACATTAATAGCTATGAGGAGCTCACTGAAAATAACATTACTCAGAAATGTTGTAACTGTTCCAACCTCCAGAAAGTGTGAAAATGATTTTAATCACAAAATTATCAGCTCTTGAGAATAAGGTTTCTGTTTTTATAGACTGAGGAAAAGCAGCTTTTAAAAACTATCTCCCAGCAAAGAAAAAGATTTAAAAGGAATAGAAAACTAATATTAGAAGTTCAGAAACTGAGGAAAGACATTAAAAAAGTGGATCAAGAAAATGAAAAACTAAGAAAAATGAAAACGTATATTCAAAACATATTTACCGAAACTCAAATAAATGCATTAATAAAAAAAAATCAAATTAAATGGTCTCCAGACGACATTTCAAAAGCATAGTAATCAGATCGTTATCCGTAAAGTCATACGACTTCTGAAAGAAAAATGGGTATTCCGCTTCCAAGTGCAAGTACACTGAAAAGATGGTGATCAAGATTTCAGTTGCCCATTCCTGGCATTTTAAATGATGTACTTTTAAATGTTTGATGAAAAAAACTTGCCAAAATGCAACTGACGAAGAAAGATTATGCATGTATTAAGTTTTTGAATGAAAGTTCATATAGATTCAAGGACTCTGTTATGATTCAAGAATTAGATCAGATATTAGGTCCTTTTATAGAAAGACTCAATTTGTATTAGTTTGAAGGACTCATTTCGCAATGGAAACAGCCCATTTATTTTGATTTTGATCGTCAAATAAAGGAAATCTTGTCGTCCATTTTGTTTGCACTTAAGGCTCCATATACCAGGCTGAAAAGGCTTGCGCGAGATTTAATGCGGCTGGCAGGTCACACTTTACTCGTAATGCACGGCTGCTCTTCCAGATCCGGTTCTTCGATTTCATCATCCTGTCCTAGGCCTAATCGCCGCGCTTGCGTGGCCACGTGCCCAGAGATTTCGAGTTTTGACTATCGTACATGTAAGACGTACATCTGCTCGCTCCTGATTTTGTGATATTAGAACTCTTCTTTTATTATACCTGATCAGAGTGCATGCCGCTGTAACAGTAGGTCGGCATTGCAATAGACTCTGGTTGCTTTTTCTCCGCTGCTTCATTTTCTGCCATCCGCTCCACCATGGATCGAATGATTGATTTTATTGCCTCTGAGATTACCAACTTAGAATGCATCAAAGAAGCTGATGGATCTCTCTCATCTAAGGACGCACGAGACCTTAAATTCCTTCGACGCCTCAAACTTTTCATTGACAGAGAACTGAACGCTGATCGTTCTTCTACTTCTCTTCCCAAACCAAACATCCCTGCTCCTAAGGTTAATGACAGTGATTCTTCAATAACTGGAATCAACAAAACTAATGTCAGACGAGCCAGCAGCCCTGCGCGCTCAGATGAAGAGCAGTCGAAAAAATATAAAGCACTGAATGAAGACAGCTCCGACACGGACTCAGGTCCTAAAGGAGATTTTACTAGAAGACTAAGAAAACCCTCTCGAAAGTCTACTCTGACGGATTCCTCTGTTTTGTCAGAAGTTTCGACAGCTGAGCCGACCACGGAAATAACTTATGATAATATGGATACAGCCCACGCTAATGTGGCGCCATCTAGTGAGATCCCCGAAAAGCCGGCTGCGAGTACGTCTCAGACGGAAAGCATGGTGCGGCCTATCGGTGCTGCAGATGAGGTCACGTGCCCGGCTGGGCTAATAGGTGATGCTCATGATCATGAAACTGGTACCAATTCTGCCGAAAATAATGAGCAGGATGTGGATAAATTCATACATCCAAATAAAGTGAGCAATAAAGCTCCCCCGATTATTATACAGGATGGTAAATACTCCTGGTCAAAATATAAGGAAATGTTTAAAGATGCAGGAATTAAGCTAAAATCAGGTATAATGAAAGCTCAAGACCACTATGAGCTAAAAGTTGACAGTATAGAAACTCATAAGAGTTTAACTGCATTACTTAATGCCAAAGGAGTGAAATATCACTCATTTATTTTACCCGAAAACAAGAAGGTTAAAGTTGTTATACGCAGCTTACCGATCGACACACGCCAACCTCAGAGATATCTGATGAACTGATAGATAGAGGTTTCCCAGTTGAACGAGTCTCGCAATTAGTAAGACGCAGAAATGGAGAAAAATTTAATCTGCCCCTGTTTCTAGTTATTTTGAAGAGGAATGAAAAAGCGAGAGGGATACATAATATAACTAAATTATGTTTGCTGAATGTTAAAGTAGAAGCTTACAAAGGAAGGAAAGGGCCGGTACAATGCTTTCGGTGTCAAGCATTTCATCATGCCCAGGCAGGATGTATGCATGACCCGAAATGCATGAAATGCGCTGGCGATCATTATTCAAAAGACTGCCCCAAGCCAAGAGAAGATAAACCTAAGTGTATAAATTGCCAATTAGATCATACAAGCAACTACAGGGGTTGCCCGAATTTTCCCAAAATAAATACTCAAAATCCGCCTTTGAAGAATTTCAGTGATAGAGTAATTATCAATAAATCTTATGCCGCCGCTGTTGGCGGGCAAACAATGAATACTCTAGATGAAGCTAGAAGTATTTTTGAAGGGCTTAAAAACCTTGTTGAGGCTATTAAGGCTTCCGGCATTCTACAAGTAAATTTAGCTCCTAGCGCAAATGCTAGTAGTTTCAACGCGGTCAATAATGAACCCAATCATGGATAGGAAAGATAATAATTTTAGGCCAATCAAGATGTTAGTGTGGAATGCTAACAACATAAGAGGAAAGAAAGATGAGTTGGAGGACTTTATGTATGAGAACGACATTGATATTTGCCTGATCTCCGAGACGCACATCACCCCAGGAGACAGAGTTAGCATCAAAAATTATAGAACCTACCGATGTGATAGGTTACATCACAGAGGAGGTGGAGCACTCATCTACGTTCATTGTAAATATTCATCTTGTTTAATTTCGACTGAAAGAGACAAGGGCTATGAAATTGTGATTGCCTCTATTAGCTTGCCTAAGATTGGAGATACCTTATTTGCGGCAATCTACAACCCCCCTACTAATAGGCTAACTGAGGAAATGTTACAAAATATTATTCCGGATTCCTCAATAATGATTGTTGGTGGCGACCTCAATAGTAAGCATAAAGATTGGGGCTGCCGCAGCACCAATCACAATGGTAAAGTACTGAGAGAGTATATCAGTAACCACCCAGTTGGTATATTTGCGCCTGACGTACCGACGTTCAGGCCCAGCAACATCAGGTACACTCCTGATATTCTAGATATCATCTTGACTAATACAGGAATTAATATGGTGCTGGAGGTTCGAGACGACTTAAGCTCTGATCATACTCCTGTGATTGCTACACTAGGGGTCACCAGTATTAATTATACGAATGTTAAGACCCATACCGACTGGAGAATGTACCACAATGTTGTGAAAGTGAGGCTCCCTAAATTAGGTGCTATGAAAAGCCCTTCTGATATTGACAAGGAGATTGATAAGTTTACTACATGTCTTAATGACTCTTACTATGAGGCCACCAAGGTTACTCAAAGGTCTTGTAAAATCGCTAAGATTCCAAGGTACGTCAAATCTCTCATAGCCGAAAGAAACAGGCTGCGAAGGAGGTATAATATCACCTGGGACCCAATTATTAAAACGGAGTTAAATAGGATCAGTAAGCATATTAAGCTTGAAATGCATAAATTAAAGTGTGAGGCTTGGAATGTTAAAATGGAGGAGTTAAACTTAGACAGTGATGCCTTCTGGCAGTTTACAAAAATGTTAAAGAGGACGCATCAGTGTGATAGGCCAATTATTGCCAACGGCGTGACTGCTTATTCAGATACTGACAAATGTCAGATTTTTCGCTTCACATCTTGAAAAGCAGTTTTCTCCCAATCAGACACC